TATTTAGAGCAAGTGTTTGGATCCCTGGGTAAAGAATCTGAAGGAAAGGAGAAACTAAGACTTTTTAGTAAGTGGCCAAAAGAATAGAAAACAGTTTGTTACTCAGATATAAAGAGGGAGTATAACATGAGTAGTTGCTCATGAGAAAGAGACAATGTTGTGTCAAGAACTAGCCTCAAGTGAGGCTTGAGTAAGGATGCAGCATTCTTTGCAGGACACTGCTTTAAGGCTCCAGGCACTTGGGTCTACACAGTGGAGGAAAAGCTTTAACTCCTACTCACCATACATAAGGGCATTAGGATTTCTCCACACAATGTAATTTTTCTTTTCTGTTTACTTAAGGGAAAGAAGCTTTAGGGAAATTATAGAAACAAAAGTTGAGACTGTGTTAATTTTAACATTCCTTAGCTTCCATGTGCTCAGTTTTGTAAAATTATTTCAGGAAATTAATGGAATTGTTCTTCAATATAATTATTTATTTGTAACAGGTTTGTGTAAGAGTTCATAAATTCTAATGTTAGTAAACAAAGTTTATGTTTCCTGGTCTGGGAAAAACAGACTTTTGATTTAACAGTTATATGTTGCAATTTTTTGTTTTGTCTTCATGTTCCTTAAGTCTCTTTTCTTTAAATCTACTGCAACAGCAAATGGTTCTGTCATTAAGCTCTTCATAGAAATTTATTATGATTTAATTGAAATGGAAAAGAGGCAATGTTTTGAGATTTTAAAGAATTTCTTAATGCAGTCACTAATCTCTGCTTTATTTGAAAACTTCTCTTCATTATTAATGCAGCTTTCCCTGCCTGAAATAATTTCTGTTATTGCCATCTCCATATTTGCAGCCATAGAATGGGTTTGCTGGCCTGTCATATTTAATCTCTAAAAAGCAGCAAAGTTATCAAACTCTGTCAAAAATGTATGTGCATTAACATCTGATTTAGCTCAAGAAGGGAAGGAACGGAGTGCAAAGTGTGTGGCTGAATAGACTAATGAAATTTTAACTGACTTCAGTTCTATTTATTGGATTCGTATTCCTCACAAAGTTTCATTTTTTTGTTGTATCAAAAATTGTCAATGTTTAACAAAATTCTGACTGTCTTCCATACTACCTAGAGCAATTCAACTAAATAGCTGATAGCCTCAGCAATTTTGCCATACTCCAAGGAAAGAAACATGTCACATAATACGCGATGAGAGAAAAATATAAAATAAAATTGTAAAGACTACTAATACTGGAATTGTATGACCTGGGAAGAATCTAGGAAAATCACAGTGAATGAAAGACATTAGGTTAATGGGGTTAATCTATTTTTGTTAGTACTACTCAGTTTCATTTGTAGTTCAATCACAAACAAGTTTTTCTGCCATGCCCCACAATCAATCCCACAATATTGCAGGATTGGAAGATTCTGCTTTAACTAAGTTACAATTTAAGATGATAAGAAGCAGATAAAAAAGTAAATACAAATGAGAAACCCAAGGAAAAAAGATAATTCATTTCAAATAATGAACACAGTGCTCAGAATAACAAGTTGCAATTTAAAAAGTCTGTATTAAACCATGTAACAAACTACATTCCCATACCAAGGAATGAAGAAAAACATTCCTGTACCAAGAAGTTACAAAGCTCTGAGTTCAGTGCTTTTAATCAGATAGTAGCTAAATATTTTATCTCTTTTGTCATCAACATCAATGCCCAATCATTAAGAACTCTTCTATGTATAAATTTTGTCAAAATATGAGCGTAAATATTTACCATAAATATTTAAATATTAAGGTACTTGAAAGTATCCAGAAGAGGGAAAGAGGGCTGGTAAGAGGGCTGGAGGGCATGTCCTATGAGGAGAGGCTGAGGACACCTGGGTTGCCTGGTCTGGAGAAGAGGAGGCTGAGGGGTGACTTCATTGCTGCCTACAGCTCCCTGAGGAGGGGAAGTGAAGAAGGAGGCGCCAGTCTCTGATCCCTGCTCACTAATGGCAGGATGCACAGGGATGGAGCTGTGCCAGGGGAGGGTCGGGCTGGGCATCCTTGCTGGATTGCCTTGCTGGGAGAGTGCAGACACTGGGACAGGCTTCCTGGAGAGGTGGCTGATGCCTCCTGCCTGGCAGTGCTCAACAGGTCTTTGGAAAATGCCCTCATTAATATGTTTTAACTTTCAGCTACTCCTGAAGAGGTCAGGCAGTTGGACTTGATGATTTCTGAAGGTCCCTTCCAACTGAACTATTCTATTTTATTCTAGTTTCAGAAGAATCAGGGTTCCACCCTTCCTGTCTGGAAATGAAGAAGTTCAGAGAGATGCAGTATTTTGGCATGATTTATATATTCAGTACAGGCCTATGTCTGGGAAAGACTTTTCCAAAACAACTTTGGACATTCTCCAAAACCAGCTCCAGCAGAGATCAAGGTCTGACAGAGCCCTAAGCTTGTGGCTTGGAGACAATTAGAAAAGCACAGGGTCCAGGGACAAATAGCTGAGGGGCAAGCTCATGGTCAGCACCCTTTATTGCTCCCACCAGGCCAGCTGCCTCAGTTCTTGGGCAGACAGCCCCATTCCTAAACAACACCAAAATTTGACAGAGACTCTTTCTTGGCTAAGGACAAATTTTGACAGGGATGCAACAATTTGGAAGGAAAAAAAAAATCTTTCAGCATTGCCAGTCTTTCAGACAGTGATTTATCTCAGGACATCAGCAGCCTACATTCTACAAAGCAGCAGGGGAATCAGAGTCCTTTCTGTGAAGACTTTTACATGACCACAGACTGCTGAGAATAGCATGCTCTTCTTTACGGGTGCACTGAGACAGGCTTTTTCTTTGCTTGTAAGGTTTGTGGGAAAGGACTGTAAAGCAGTATTTTTCTTTACGTTAATAAAACTTCAGGGCCCCTGCTAGAAGATGAGTCCCTGCCACATGATGATTTCCATCCTGTATCCTGGGTTCCATATTCTTCTCTTCCCCCATCCCAAACAAGATGAGGGAAGCTCACAGTTCTGGATGCTAGGAAATGCTGGTGGTTTGGGACAGACTTATGTGTTCACTGCATGACAAAAATACCTGGATACAGTTATTTTCTAGCAAAATGATTAAAGACAATAAATTTCTTTGTTCTGCTTTATGAAGCAGAGACTGAGCAAGTGGGATAGGGTTCTCATTGCCCTTCCTCAGATGGGCAACAAAGTACAGACACTGCTGATACGACATGGAAGTCAATCTGTTCCTGAGGAGAATGACCTCAAGTCATGGAATTTAGCTTAATTCATTGCTAATGAACACAAACATCTGATCACAAGTTTGGGTACTGGGAAAAAAGGATAACAAATATTTTAACAAAAACTAACGTGGACATCTATCCTTACAACATCCAGACTTCTTTAGTTTTCTTGAAATTACAGTCAATCCACTAAAGTTCCTTCAGTTAGACTTGGTGACACTGGACGTAAAGGACAAGTATGACCTTTTGTTTGAGCAGCTCTTTGCCAGTTGTTGTTTTTTGTTTTGTTTTGTTTTTCCCTGTCACACTGCTCCTTAGTGTCCATGTCCCAGTGTGAGACACCCATATCCACTGTTCCTCAAAATATCCCTTCCTTCTCCCTGTGGACCACACTGTCCCTGCCCCAGCATGGACCACCCGCAGCTACATTAGGAATGTTCCTGCACTGTTCCTTTAGGATATCCCTGCCTGGCTCCTCCACAGACAGCAGTTCCTCAGGGGTGTCCCTGTCCCCTCCATCATGGATGGCCCTCTATTAATGTGACCTTTCCTGAACAGTTTTTTCTTAAAAAACTGAAGTTCCTGAACTGTTTTTCTTAAAAAGGTTTGAGCCAAGCATTGCATGTTTTTTTGTTTTGGTTTGTTTTGGTTTTTGGTTTTGTTTGTTTGTTTTTGTTTTTCACCTGCTGCTGTTTACTCCAGTTTCTGAGCAGGCTACAACTGGTTGTGATTGGTACATGACTGTTTGTGGCTTCCTACCACACAGAGCACCACTGCAGCTCCCACAGCATTAACCTTGTCACTTATGTTCATGACAAGGTGAATGACATGACAAGTGAGGTGCATGTCTGTATCTGGTGACAGCAAAGGTACCCTGGTTGGCTAGGTCCCTTCATTATGATCACCAGAAAGATTAATCAGACATACAGGAATTAAAAATAAATAAATAAATTATAATAATAACAATCATGGAATGTGTTCACAGCATACTTAAACTCAAATTTTCCAAGCCCAGAATTTGTCCCATCCACTAGATCATATTTTCTCTCACATTATACATCTGGTCCCTGCAGAGAAGCCTAAGCAAACATTTTCATACTGTTTGATTTTGCCCCTCATATTTATTAATAAAAACAAATTTAATCTGAGATGTTGGCATTTTAATACCATGTATTTTCAATGTTTTCTGCTCTTAAGTTGTGATGCAATGGTGTTTATGTTATGAATATTAGCCCCCATAACTATTATTTTATAATAGTTATATGCTTTAATAGTCCAGACAACAGAAGCAAGAAAAGCTATCTGCATGTTATAAATTGAACAGATTAGCTGTAATATTTTGTTATACTTAGTATTGCATAAAATAGATGTGCTTTATAGATTTCAACACAAATTGCTACCTCATTCATGCAAGGAATATTTTCTCATGCAAGAAAATATTCTCTGTTTACTGGACAATCAGTCATCAGCCTAGCACATATTTTGTTTTTAAATTGTTATATTTGGTGTGTGTAACAAATCCTTGTGTTGTAGATATCTCTGATTACAGGCATCACAAGTCTTCTTGTGGGTGTTAACCTTGACTGCAGGCCACACACCCAGATTCCTTCCCTCAGCAGTATAGGAGAGTAAACAGATTCGGAATAAAGGTATTGAGACCATTTACCAATTACTGTAATAATTACTGTAATGGGCAAGACTTTCCTCAACTTGAGGAAAGTGAATTCAATTTACTGACAATTAAAATAGATTTGAGTAGTGAGAAACAGAAATAAAAACAACTTTCCTACCCTTTTTCCTATGCTCAGCTTCACTCCAGACTCTTCCCACCTCCAGATAGCCAAGGGAGAATGATCAGTCCACAACACCTCTCTGCTGCTCCTTTCCTCTCATACTTTTCTGTTGCTCCAGTGTGGGTTCTCCCCAGGTCGCAGTCTTTCAGAAGAAAATCTGCTCTAATATGGATTCTTTGCAGACTATAGCTCTTTCAGGAAATTGCCATCTGCTCTGGTATGGGGTCCTCCATAGGCTGCAAAAATTCTGCTCAACCACAACACACTTTTTCCTCCTTCTCTGACTTTGCTGCTCACTCTGTTACTTTTCACTCTTTTCTTTCCCCCTATATCTGTTGGTATTTCCTGCCCTTTCTTAAATGCATTTTCCTACCAGCTTCGCTCCTGGGATTTGGCTGTGGTAGAACCATCTGTAACTGGTTTACACCATTTAAAACCAGTTGTGTTGGGTACAGGGCAGGGGCCAGACACGGCCTCTTCTTATAGAAGCTTCTTGGTTGCTAAAACCTTTCCAGGGCCACTCTAAATATATACCCAGCTCTCTAAAGACCTAATGTTTATGCAGCTTGTTACACCTACCTCAGCATGGCAATCTCAGAAGGAAAGTGACCAAATGCTTGTTTCTACTATCTCCATACCATTATCACTACTACCAGGGCAAATTGCAGGCCTCGCGGCTTGGTGGCTGCTGGTTCTCCTTACTCCCTGATAAAGGACCATGCAACAGCTATGACCTAGCCCACTGTCATATTTATTAATTAGTTAATTAATTAAAAAAGCATAATAGACTTGCAGCTCTAGAGAAGCTATTTTGAAGCTACCTACTACATCCTCCATCTCCTGTTCCCTGCCTAGTAAGTGAAGATTTTTATTTTTACATAGTGTCTCAAAGAATATTATGTTATAAATGAAAGTGTCATATGGGATTGTATGTAGGTGTGTTGGGCATAAATGGCAGTATTTCGTATGAGGAAGCTGCATGGGCACCTTTTGAGGGGGGAAGCCATAAACAACACCATGCTGGGTTAGTTAGCTCTGAAATTGCCAGGGACACCTCATCCAACACCAAACTTCAGAGGATTCTGATTGTGTTTTAAAAAGGCAGTAACTGCTAGGGGAAGACATACGAAATGTTTCTTGGGGAGGGGAAGAAATGGAGGAGAAAAAGAGTCTTGTTGTGGGGAGGTGCTGCACAGTAGTGTAAAGCCCAGCGTCTGAGGCCTGCAGGTTACTTAGCTCAGAACATGAACACCCTGAGGGATCCTGGATGTTGGGAATCTCTGACAGGGACATCCCTGAGGGACTAGGGCCTGCAGGGGATTGATGACCCATGCTGAACCAGGAAAACCCTGAGGCACTGTGGCCTATGCTGGAGCATAGGGGCAGGAAAAGGGAAAGAGCAGTGGCAGCAAGGAAGTATAGACAGAAGCAGTTACTTGCTGTCCCCAGGCTCCTGTGCTGCTCATCGCCTCCCAGAAGGGATTGGGAAGGAATGAGTATAGCTCCTGCTGAAAACAAGGCAAGAGGAGGGGAAGAGGGGTGTTGGACTGGGGATAAGTTGGGAAAAGGGGGAGAAAGTGCATTGCCTGAAGTGTTGTTTAGTTGTTTCTCTTTATTATTATTAGTAACTCTCCATACTCAACAAAGTAATTATAAGTTTATTAATTAGTAGTAAGTTAAGCGAAATGACTGAATTGAGGCTGTTGCCCACTGATGGATGATGTGGGTAACACCTGGAGCCTGGTGTTAGAGTAATTGTTGGTTTACTAGGTGCAAACAGTGTGTAAACAGGTGAGACACAGTTTTCCTGACTTTATATTAAGGCTCTGATGGTATTGAAAGAAAAATGTATGACAGTTATGTATTCAAACACTGTTAAATACATTTTAAAGAGGCTAGAGGTGGAATGGATAGAGATAAATTGGAGGGTTTCAGGAGAAGGAAGAGGTAGGAGTGGAGATCATGAACTGCCCTGTGGCAGTCACAGTGCTTCCAGCACTTCTCATCTTGCTGTGCTAAAACACAGCAAAATGAATCTTTTCCATCAGACGTGGAATTAATTTGATATACCATAAACTCCAAATCCTGAGATGTTTCCATGACTTTGTTTTTCGTTTGTTTTAAAAACAAACGACAACAGTTGGCATAGTTGCTGCAACTGACCTTTTGAGAGTGGACTGTTGTAGAAATGCATGGTTGACTTGTCCCCATGCCTCTTTAGCAGCAGTTCAGATTAAATAATTTGGACTGATTAATGAAACCCAGCAAATTGGTGTATGTCATGCCAGGTGACCTGCTTGATCCCTTCTTATTTAGAATCTTTGCTGTTATGCAAAATAGGTGAAAAATTCTCTTACTTTGTTATGATTTATGACATGGTAACTTGTGATGTGACACTGTATTAGCGTGATTTGATTATAGAGTCTGACATGGCCATTTGATACAAAACACAGCATTAGTGTTGGATTTTTGAAACTGGAGAGAAATATTGCTAGACTGTCAAATTTAACATAGTGAAAGCTTTATATTTAAACCTTTCTTCTTAGGGACACCACTAATTAAATTATTTCTTCTTTCACGTCCTTTCAGAACTTATTGAGTGAATTATTTTCCAGATGGGAAACTAAACTCTGTGTGGGGATAATAGGGCTCCCAAATTATCATTCTGACCAGCACAAAAGTAATTCATAATTTACACTAGATAGAGGGAGTTCAGAGAGGTTAGTAGTAATACAGTGCAACTGTATGTCATGCTGAACCTTTTTCCCTGCTGTGTGCTACCTGGAACAATTTGGCCCTTGAGGTCCCATATGTACAAAGTGTTTCAGTGCTGGGTCATGTAACAATTTGTGCATTTGTAAAACTTTGTATAGTGTTATCTATTTATCATTATAAGAAAGCCAGCTTCTACCAATAATGCAATGAAATAAGATGGTGGCAAGGGAAAAAATATTTCAGTTTCATATATATGCATATACTGGAAGTCATTCTTAATTTTTTTGAAGGCTATGGAATTGAGTTAGAAGATAGAAGAGGAGAAAAAAAAATATATTGAAAAAAAGTGTTACTCCAACTTGTATATCTGTCTCAAATGAAAGTAAGAAAAACTTGACATTTTACATGAAAATCAATTTAAGGATTTTGTTGCAATTTGGTTTCACTGAAATAAGGCAGGATGGTAGTCTTTGGTCTCAAAACTCTGTTGAGTCACTAGAAAATATCATTTTTCAGTTCTGGATTCTGGGACAGATCCAGACTGCGAGTAGTTATATACTTTTGCAAAAATAATTTTGTAACACTTTCATCTTCAGCTTCGGACAGGGAGAGAATACCCAGAAAGGACACTTCATGAAAAGTTCAGAATCCTTTTAACCTTTCTTAGCTTCATGTCCTACCAAGGCATCTAAATAGTAGAAAACAGAACCAAACCCTTTGTGTTCCTTGTAAAGCAGCTATTAATTTTATGCCCTCAAAATCAATGAAAGGTTTGTTAGGAAAAAAATAAATGATGACTGTGTGCAGAAGAATAAGGGATAGGAGGTCACGAGAAACTAAAAGATCTCAGGTCCTCCCCTGTCATCTAATCTAATGCATACCCCAGCATCAGAGTTAACATGCAAGTGCACCTACATGAAGGAGCAAGCAGAAGTCTGAGGGTTTCTTTTTGGTCCTGTGCTTTATTTTGTGAAAGCAAAATAAAGGAACGCTAAGGTTCGTTAATACTCTTGGATTAATTAATAGGGAGTTAGTTGTAAGCAGAAAACTTTTAAGCCTTATTGTGAGCCAACATGAGGATGACTTTTTTTGTGGCCATTTCATAGATTGCTCTGTTCAGTTGCCTACTTCTGTTGGTGTTGAGGAGCTGGGCAGTTCTGATTCATCTGTCATTTTGTTAGGGTGCTATTTTATTTCTTTTAAGATATAACCTTGTTACTTCGAAACTGCTGCATTTCATAAGCAGTCAAAATATGTCATATATTTGGATTTTTAGATCCTATTTCCAAAGCAAGTGTGTTATTGTTTGAGGTATTCTTTGCCCTCAGACGTGACACATTGTCAGCATAGTTACTAACGTGACTGAGAGCTACAACACAATGATATGAATGACGTTTCTACAGGCATGAAACTTAATTGAGTGTTAACTGGAAAAAGCATTAACATAAACTTGAAGACCAGCAGTTATAAGTTAGATGTTTGAGGTTCAGATTCAGCTTCATGCTTCATGAGCTAAATTTTCCATTTTAGGCTTTTGTACACGATAATGCAGGATTGTTGAATTGTATATGTTCAAAATGTGTATATGAAGGGGTTCATAATTTGTTTACTAAACTTCTCATAGATTAAAAAAAAAAAAAAAATCTCAAGGGAAAAAAAATAGCAAGGAAACCTAAATGCAGTAAAATCTTTAATCCAATATCCATTGAAGTTAATGGTCAGATGACATCTTCCACAGTGGATGTGGAATTACTGACTGTGAAAGCTCATGGCATTTAATGTTGATGTTACACATCAGTGTGTTAACAGACAAGTTCCTGTTTAGCAGAGAGAACTTGCAATCTGGTCTGGTGGAAAGCAGTTCACAGGCAGTTTCTTAAAATAAAAAATTGAGCAAGTCATTTCACTGATTTGCTGATTTATTTAATCATGCAGAAGACTACATTTCTGTACAGATTTCAGATTTTTTTCTTTCTACAGTTGGTACAATGCTAGGGTCAGGAAACCTAGAAATGCATGCCTTCCTAGCAAAGAGCAGCTCAGCATTACTTTCCTTGGAACATCTTATAGTATTTTTATTTATTTTACTTTAATTTTATTTCTCATTTTATTTTTTCCCCAAATGCAAGGCACAATCTTGTTTGTATGGGGAAGGTGGGGGTAGGGACAGAGGAAGCAGCTTGAGCCAAGTTGTTGCTGAAGTTTTTCAACAAGACGGAACATGTTTTCTTTGACAATATTTTGGTCTTTTTAGAAGTGACAAAGCAAAAAGTGCATGTGTATGTTCTCCCTCTAAAGTATAAATGTGAGAAGGGAATCTTAAATTGTACTGTAGTTTAGTAATAAATTGTGGTACATGTAAGCCTCAGGGCTTGTATCTATTCCTCATTGAGGTACAGGAGACTATCTCATAGAACTTTTTTTTTTTTTGCCTTGGGCAAAGACTTTTTTCTTGCACCTTTTTGGTAGGGTTATCAGAATAATCAGAATAGAAAATACCTTTTTTTTTTTTTTTTTTTTTTTTTTTTTTAATGTATGCAATCGATGCATCTAACAAACAGCTAAAATCTCAGATTAAATTTTGGATTCCAGTTAAACCCCTGGGCTTTTTAGAAGGACTGTGCTTCTCATGAAGGCCTGTATTTATTTATTTATTTCAGAATTATTTCCATCTTGTTCTGCATTAGCACATTTTACCTCTTGGATGATTGTTTATGAAACTATGGTGTTGGGCAGGCTTCAGTGAAAGCCATTTCCAATCTTGCTTGCAGTACAAGCCTTAGAGTT